AAAAACCGAGTAACTTCTCTTGAACATCGGAAGGTTAGGTAAAATCTTTTGTTTTCGTCATGTATTTTATCCTATTTTACATTAAAATATAGTGACCCCTCGGTTAACGAACTCAATCCGTTCCAGAAGGTCGTTCGTTAACCGAAACCATTGTTTCAATGGGTTTTGGGTAATTGGTTCCAGCTCACCGAAAATTTCCTAAATTCAACAAAAATGGTAGAAAAGTTCACTTACTTTGAGGTGTGTATGTAGAAGGCTCCTGGATGATGATGATGATGATGATGATGATGATGATGGGAATTACAATGGGGGTGGAGGAGAAGGAAGAAGAGAAGGCATTGGGGTGGAAGAGAAGTCACCCCATGGCACCATTTCACCCATAAAATTTTAGTTCTCTTGGTGTATTTCAAGATTATTTTCTTTAAATCAACACTGCACTGCATTATATATTGTCAATATGTAAAATATATTTCAAAATGACCAATAATTTGCTTGGAAACACAGAGAAAAAGCGTTTAGTTGAAGAGAGTCTCAAGCAAGATGTTACCTCCAGTAAAAACAGAGAGAGACTAACGCCTGTTTGCTGTGTTAAGAGGCTGGATGCTGCTCTTTAAACTAGTCACTTTACCTTCAATTATGTTCAATAATTGTTAAAATTGAATAGTATAAACTTCTTGATATTTACTAAAATAGTTAGGAATTTAAGCCCTAGAACCGATTAATGTATTGGCAGACTGATACTAAAGCTGGTTGCCCGGCCAGTGCAAGCGAAAACATGTTGAGGTCGGTTCGTAAGAAATTCGTTAACCGAATTGAAGATCCTTATGGAAGGCAGTTCGTTAACCGAAATTTCGTTAACCGAAGTGTTCGCTAAACGAGGGGTCACTGTACATCACGTTTCAGCTAAACCACTATTTATTTCCGAGAATATATTCATTCAGGCGCAGTTTAGGTAAAATATACATGTGATGTAACAGTTTTTTAACTGAAAACGATTCGAAAAACACGTGTACCGTCTAGCTGATACAGCTGGTGGTGCGTGATGCGTCGTTGTAAACAAAAGGAGGTTGAAGTAGATTACAGGGTATTATATAAAGTGTGAAATATGGAAAAGGTTTTTATTACCGGTATTTTTTGTAGATCAATGAGAACTGTGATACCGTATATGATATGATAAGTTAGCCTGTGCTAAGAACTTCAACATAGACTACTGAAAGCACGTTGTAAGGTAATTTAGCCTATTGTAAGTTGGTTAGCTTCATTTACTGAAGGAACTGCACAACTTTTCATTACTAATTGGTACATATTTTACGTTTCCATTGTTTACTGGCAGTAAATGGTAAATATTTTTCATGTCTGAAGCTAAAAGTTGCTCCTCGCCCTTCCCATCATGCACGGGTTCAACCTAACAAAACTATTACACATGTATAGGACGACCCCCAATTTTTTGCCTAAAAATTTGTTCTTAAAAACTCGAACTATACGGTATATAATTAAAGAAAATACTTGGTGTGTTTAATATATTACAGTATATTATAAATAAATAAATAAACAAATAAATCGGCAAATCTATTTCAAGTAAATGGAAATATTTTACTCACACCAACATTAGTTCCAGTTAAATAACTGACGCTTAAGTGAGTTACTAGTGTCCACCAGCCTGTAAAATTTGATGCCAATACTTTAAGTGAATTGGCATTATTTTAAATAACCAACCATAAATAAATGGAAAAAAGATCAGAGGTGAGAAACATTATATTGTATGTATGTTGTGTTGTCAAAGGAAGAGAAACAATTGAAACTCTGCAATTGTGTGTAAATGAGGATCAGCAACCTAAGACTTAGTCACAATTTTCGTGATGCCATATGGAAGTAGGATCTACCATTAGACAACACTGTACATTATGCTTCCAATATCTTCCCAGGCAGTAGAATCTCCCTGTTTGGTAGCTGCCTAAAACTTTTAGTAATAATACTTTGATACAACATGATAAATTAGACAAACAATGAAAATAAACAAACAAAAGTTATTTACCAAGACCTTCTCTCTCAGAACAGAGGGATGGAGGGGGAGGGGAGATAAGACGGCTATTTATAGCCGTCTTTGTGTAGGGAGTCGACCACACTAGAAATAATTCATTTAAAATTTATATTTTTACATACTGTAGAATATTCAGTACATGACAGCGATTATAAAATATTGTGATCGGGGGTGAAGGAGGGGGTTTCGAGAATTGCAATTAAATGCCAGGTAGCGACGTGTCCTCCTAATATTACTATTAGATGTTTTAATTGCCTGTATGTTGGCCTGGCGAGTTATTGCTAGGCATTAACATATCTAGCTTAAAGCTAGGCGTCGCATTCTGAGGTTTGAACAAAAAGAGTGTTAACCCTTAGGTCCCGGGTGACGTTCCAGAACGCACGCCTTTTTCCGTAACTGTTTAAATGCCCAGCACGGGTTATCAGGTTCAAGTGTGACTATTTGCCCCTCACGCCACACGCTCAGCCACAGGGAAGCTTCCTGAACATAATTATCTACTTTTGTTTGTTTCACTTTCATTGTTTGTCCATTTTATCATGTTGTATCAAAGTAATATTGCTAAAAGTAGTGTAGTATTATTGGAAAATAATGCTATGATTATGTTATAAATGTATTAATTTATGGAATTATTATTACTTTATGCATTAATTGCTATACCAAACACAAAGACAGCCAGAGAGCTGGCGACAGACTGCTGTGTGTCGCCAAGCACTTTTTATGAAAAATAATGCAAAAATTTAATTTTAAATTAATTATTTATAGGAGATGATGATCAGTAAAAATATGCAATATTGGTCACTTCAGACACAAAGACAAGCTAAAAATAGCCCTCTTATCTCCCTCCCTCTTACCTGTGGTCAGAGGGAAGGTTCTTGGTAAATAACTTCTTTTGTTTGTTTATTTTCATTGTTTGTACATTTTATCATGTTGTAACGAAGTAATATTACTAAAAGTTGTGTAGTTGTATTTTAGTGTAGTACCTGGTATTACTAGATGATGATGCTATGATTATGTTATAAATGTATTTATTTGTGGAATTATTATTCCGATAATTATTTGTATGACCTAAGTGGTCTCCCAAACATAAAGCCTGACGACAGACTGCGTGTGTGTGTATGTTTCGCTGAGAACTTCTTATGAAGAGTAATGCAAATAAAATAAAGTCTAAATTAATTATTTATAGGAAATAAGTACAGGGGTATTACGATCAGTAAATAAATGCATTATTGGCCAACTCAGAAAAAAAGGCAAGCGGGAAAGTGACCCCTAAGTGAGGAGTGACAGAGAGCACTCGATGTAAAAAAAAACTTTCCCCTTAATTGTCTCGTCACCGAGGCGCCACGGAATAATATAGAGGGACAATGTATAGTTTTTCTTGCGTCTTTTTTATTGTTTTATCATTTATGAAGGTTAAAAATTATTTTGGGAAAAATTTATTTTTCTCGTTTTACCCCGCGTTGGGGGTATGGCCGGCGGCACCCTAGCCCGGGGTGTAAGGGTTAATAAGCAAAAAACAACAGTTTGCACTTGATCACGCACGTTTAGGTGATGAGGGTAAATCGCACTAATGCTCCTGCTCCCTCAAAGTGGGTGACTGGGTGTGAGGCATCACTCCCCATGCGCCGTTCTGCCTCTCTCTACGCCGCGTAAACTAGTTCTCATACGTAACTGCTATGAACCATCGTACTTATGTCGGATTTTTTAAATAATTTATCTTATGGGACCTCATTCGTATCGGCGGAGATTCATAAGTCGGCGACCCCCCTGTATCTACAAGATATGAATCAATATCCCAAATGCATACTAGGAAGCATAACTCTCCATAAAGATAAGAACAATAAAAGTATCAAACCCAAGTTTCCCCCCAAACCATACAATCAGACACTGAAAGCTCTTTAAGATATCACATTACATACTATAAATACTAATGAAGGAAAAAACATCTTGCTTCAATGTATATGACAGCTAATCCCTTCAGGGTTGTCATTGAAAAGTTTAATATCCTAAATCATGTGATATTTATCAACTTATTTACCAGTTTGGGATATACAAACAGACCTTGACTTGAAAAACAAAAATACTTTGATAAATAAATGTTCATAAATTAATGCACATTCACTAATTGACTCCCATTATACAAGCTGAGATATGATCCTTTGGGGAAAATCACACACACACATGCGAATTAAGACAACAAGCATCCAGTAAGGGTCTTGTTGTGTGACTGCATGGAGGCGAATTAAAAGATCAGCTCTTGAGGAACTTATCACTTGGCAACACTGGTGCATGTTACCACTCCTTTCCACTCCATCTCTAATCACCCACATCTGTCTGCTTTCTCACTCCATATTTTTAAATGTTATGGAATGTAATGTTGAAGGGATACAACTTTGCACATTTATACTTATCTTATCACAATCTCCCTGAAAATACCTTAGTTTTCGTGTTTATTCAAGACATCTTCAGGTCATGAGACCCACTAATCCACCCCCCCAGGAAAGGATGACTTGACATTCCATCAGAAGGTCAGTAATATGAGACCACTAATTCCCCACCCTACCTCCACCTGACATTGAGTCAGGTCAGGTCACCCCCCAAAATACTTTGTCTTTCATCTTTATTGAAGTCATTTTCAGAAAATTCTCTCTATTTTCAACCTCAGAAATTTTTTTCCTAAAGTCGGAAATTTTTTGAATTTCTGGCTTTGGGGATGATTTTCTGAGCAAATTTAAATTCCGGCTATCAGTAATTTCTGGGTTTGAGGGATTCCGGCTGACAGAGATATTACTGTATATTGCAATATAAGAGCCACCAAACTAAAGAGCAACTGCCAGAAGAAAAAACATAAAAACATGTACTTTAGTGTGTTAGGAAAGGAAATAATTTAGCAAGTCAATAATATACCAATATTATAATATAACTACAGTACACAGTAATTATATATCTTATAGATACTTACACCACTTTATCTGCAGGTGGTGATAAAATTCTTGCTACTTTCTTCAGTGTTTCTAAGATCATATGATGAATTCTGTTGTTCACAACAATTTCCTGAAATAAATAATGTTTATATAGGTGCCTCCTATAAACCATCTCATGCATTTCAAGGATCATAACTCAAGCAAGTTCCTTTAACACAGCTCTACAACTCTGTCTGTAGTCTAAAAGTCAAATGTTTAATAAAAGAATATGCAGGTATTAAACTGCTAAAAATATTATTGCCTCTAACAAGTCAAGAGATAGAAGTTGATGAGGATTAATTTGGGGGATAACACGAGGGAAGAAAAAATCTTGAGGTGACCTGGACCCCTCATTAAGTGGCCTTAAAGCAGTGTTCCTGAAATATTGCAGCCTCATTCAGGAGTTACGAGCTCATGTCTGAGAATATGGGCATAAAACAAAAGGGAGAGAAAGAGAGAACACAAATACACACACGCACACACATGCACACACAATCATTTCTTCACAAGCAAGGGAAGAGCAGTATGTGTATCCCTAAACTGTTCAATAATGAGAAAAAATTGGTCAAATGTTCAAGTTTATTACCTTAATACACAGAGGTGAAAGATGGGTTATAATGATCTGAAGGGCTTTGTGTTCAAAAGTCAAATTATGTGGAGACATAAATGACTGTAACACATGAAGGGCCGGGCCAACTTGACTTTCATACCAATCCACTGGGGAGGCTGGGTTGCTCACTGGTGAT